GTCACGGTTACCCATGGGAAGCGAGTTCGCAAAGATTTTATAATGTTTGATGATGCAGATGCAGATGGGATGATAATCCTTCACAATGATGCACTATTAATATCTTTACTTGTACATGATACTAATGTGAAACGAGTTTTGATTGATCTAGGTAGCTCCGTAAATATCATACTTCTGAGGGTGGTAAACGAGATGCAAGTTGATGACAAGATGGTGCCCAAAGCACATACCTTATCTGGATTTGACAATTCAAGCGTTGTTACAAAAGGGAAAATAGTGCTTACAACATTTACGGAAGGAGTTGTCAAGGATACGAAATTTCAGGTGATAGATATGGACATGGCGTATAACATGATTTTGGGAAGGCCTTGGATTCATGATATGGATGTTGTACCATCTACTTTGCATCAAGTTATTTTGTTCCCTTCACAATGGGGGATTAGGAAAATCCGTGGGGATCAGCAGGCTTCTAAAAGTATCAATTTAGTTGCGGATTCAAGCGTAGCAAATAAGAAATAGCAACTATAGAGTTCAGTTGAAGACATGACAACACAAACCTCAACTGAAAATGGACAAACGGGCGTAGACTCAAGACCTGATGTCATTCAAGAACCAGAATAGAATGAAAACATCATAACAACAATTGAAGAACTCGAGGCTATCACACTTTCCGAATAGTGGCCGGATAGAAAAGTTTATTCTGGAATAAAGCTAAGCCCGAAAATGAAAGGTAAACTTGTCAAATTTTTATAAGCTAACTCAGATTGCTTTGCTTGGTCGCATTCAGATATGATAGTTATACCATCGGAGGTGGTGACCCACAAGTTAAATGAAGATCTATCGTATCCACCTGTCAAACATAAGAAAAGGAAGCAAGGATCCTTCAAAAATAAGGTGATCCAGGATGAGGTACAAAAACTTTTAAAAATTGGGTCAATACGAGAGGTAAAATATCCTAACTGGCTAGCTAATATTGTAGTAGTACCAAAAAAGAATGGGAAATGGCGAGTTTATGTAGGTTATACCGATTTAAATAAAGATTGTCCTAAAGACTCATTTCCTTTACCGCACATAGATCAACTAATTGATTCTACTGCAGGACATGAGTTGTTGTGTTTTTTAGATGCCTATTCAGGATATAATCAGATAAAGATGGATCCTTTAGATGAGGAAAAAGCTTCCTTTATCACAGACAGGGGGACTTACTGTTAAAAAGTCATGCCCTTCGGACTAAAAAATGTTGGAGCCACATACCAAAGGTTGGTGACAAAAATATTTCAAGAACACCAAAGACTAAGGAAGTCTACATCGATGACATGCTAGTCAAGTCGGCACAAGTGGGGAATCATATTCAACATTTGTCAGATACTTTTTAGATTCTCTGCAAGTTCAATATGAAGTTAAATCCTGAAAAATGTGCTTTCGGCGTGGCTTCAGGTAAGTTCTTATGTTTTCTTGTTTCTAACTGAGGTATTGAAGTAAACCCTGCATAGATCAAAGCCATTGAGGAGATACCAGATATACTCACGAGCAAAAAGGAGGTGCAGAGGTTGATAGATAGGATAGCAGCTTTGGGAAGATTTATTTCCAAATCCTCAGGGAAAAGTTTTAAGTTCTTTTCAGTTTTGAAAAAATAAAACCAATTTGAGTGGGCTGATGAATGTGAACAAGCACTCAAAATCTAAAAGCATACTTGTAAAATCCACCACTACTGGCTAAACCGAAGGATGGAGAAAGGCTACTCATCTATCTCGCTGTATTAGAAATGGCGATAAGTGCGGTATTAGTCCGCGAAGAAAAAGGTAAACAATCACCAATTTACTATGTTAGTCTTTATTGGATGTTGAAACTTGATACCCTCACTTAGAAAAACTTGCTTTAGCATTAATTATGGCATCTAGAAAGTTGAGACCTTATTTTCAATGTCACCCTATCTCTGTAGTGACACCTTACCCCTTAAGGAATATATTGCATAAGCAAGAACTGTCAGGTAGGTTAGCTAAATAGCTAGAGAACTCAGTGAATACGACATCGTTTACCAACTTAGAATTGCGATAAAATTGGAAGTTTTAGCAAATTTTGTGGCAGATTTTACCGCAGGGATAGTTCCTAAGGCAGAAAAGGAACTACAAGTATTCACCGGATCAAATCCGGGTACTTGGACCCTATTTACTGATGGCTCCTCGAACATTCAAGGAGCGGGTTTAGGCATTGTCCCAACCCTACCTTCGGAGAATGCTTGCCGAATTAGCAAGTCCTGAGCGTGGGTTTTCTATGGTTGCGGTATTGTTTGGAGGAGGAGTTGATGGCGTAGTTGGCAATCCACTAACAAAAGCTTGAAGAGCGTTGTTGATGTGTTCCGTAATTAGTTGTTTTAATGCATCCTCGGCAGTTTGCTCGTCCCCTTTTTGATCATTCGTGTGTGATGTTGATCTTTGAGGTGTCCCCTCCCAGGACTGTCGAGGAGAACTTTGCGGTGAGGGGATTGGTGGAGTTCCTCCCTCCTGTTGGTTCAGTTGGTTGTTGTCGTTGGCTGTTGACATGATTGTTTGACAGAAAAGTGAATTTGGAAAGTGAAAATATTATCAAATTTCCGGTAACAGAACCAATTTGTTTAACCAAAAATATGTCTTTTGATCTAATTTTAGAAGAAACGGGTTACTGATAACCAAGTTTTGCTTCACTTTCTTAATGATATCAAAGGAAAACAATAAGAATAAATAAGAAAATAATTGATTGCAAAGTTAAGGTAGAAAATTTCGAGAAAGCGGATAATTAAAGAGTGTATTTCAATATTTCGATCTGTCCTTACAAGTTGAATTTTGTGCCCTTATATAGGAATATACAATAGTAACGGTTGTTCCCACATAATTTGGGTTAAATATAGGCATTAATGATATTGATTGCCCATATTCTTGGAAATCTATAATCGATGTATTTATTGCTATAAATGTCTCGCATCCGTTCTGATTTCCCTTCCTTATTTTCCTCCGGTTCATGTATCTTTCCTTTTTTTTATTATGTATTCATGCTGTCCTCATTTATTTCTTGCCAACTATTTTAGGCCTGGTATCATCTTGTGGGTATTTCTTCTCGTGCCTTGTTTTCCCTAATTAAGAAAGCCACGTGTCGCTAAATCATTGTCCCACGTTCCATGCCATGTCAGCTTCCCAATATTGCACGTGTAACACTTTTCACCACCAATACAATCCGTGACTGGTCGGAGACCATGGCGAAAATCTCGGAACGGATCAAATCAAGGACGATTAACTAGCTAATCATGAGATTTCCTTCTGTAATTAGAGTTATACCATAATTAGAATTTCTTTACTATATAAAGAGGAGTCTCAATCATTTGTAGGGCACTTACATTCTGAGATATCAAAGCAATATAATACTTTCTCTTTAATTTATACTCTTGTTCATCAGCTTGCTTATATTTTTAACTATTCTTATACCAATTAGCTTGAGGTATCCGAGCTCGAGGGCTGAATTACATTCAAACACTGGTTTGGTTTATCTTATTGTTAATTTTTATTACTAATCTTTATATTTATCAATTGGTTAGTAGAAGAAATTACGTGTCCTTAAAATCACATTATAAGTTTAATTGTTATCTAATTTTAAGGTTAAACACATATAACTAATAAATTTGTATATTTTGTATGTAGAGTCCATTACTCACATAGTCACTCAACTATCCCAAATTATCTCCTAAAGTCACTTTACTTTCGTTTGTAATAACAAAGTCACTGAACTATACCTATTGCACTCAAAAGGTCACTCAACTAGATTTTTCAAATTTTGGATTGCCAAATACCTATTTTACCCTCTAAATTATAAACATTTATCTTCTTTTAATTTTTTTAAACTTTTTAATATTATGATTTTCCCTTTTAATTTATATTATGGACNAATTAATTAGAATAATTTGTTTGTAATAATAATTTTAGTATTAACAAAAAAATTCAAAAATTTATTTACACAATTCAGAATGAAAGAAAATAAAGGTTGTAAAATATATATTCCATGCACGTAATATAAAAATAATTATTTAAATAAAAATATTTTTATAATATACATTATATATTCTTGAAAATTAAGCTCAGTTATATTATATATATTTCATGCACGACTTAACATAGCATATTTTACCCTATAGAGATAGTTCCCTGCTTTCCGGTAATATAACTTTGTGTCGTAGGAAAGTTGGTAGAAACATTATTAGTTGAGCATAATTTTTAAGAATATATGATGTATATTATAAAAATACCTTTATTCAAATAATTATTTTTATATTACGTGCATAGAATATATATTTTACAACCTTTATTTTTTTTCCTTCTGAATTGTATAAATAATTTTGAATTTTTTTTTGTTAATACTAAAATTATTATTACTAACAAATTATTCTAATTACTTTTTAATATGCTCATTATTTTGTTATTCTAGCATTCTATATGCTTAAATACTTTTATTTTTTTAATTTCTAAATAATATTTATTTATTCTATAGGTAAGTCCATAATATAAATTAAAAAAGGGGAAATTATAATATTAAAAAGGTTAAAAAAATAAAAAGAAGATAAATATTTATAATTTAGAGGGTAAAATACGTATTTGATAATTCAAAATTTGGAAAATTTAGTTGAGTGACCTTCTCAGTGATTTTGTTGTTACAAATGAAAGTAAAATAACTTTAGTAGATAATTTGAGATAGTTGAGTTGACACGTGAGTAATGGACTCTTTGTATGTAATATGAGAATAACCTCAATACTGACCTAACAAATAGGTATATATGCGAATCGCCGCAATTCCACGCTCCAATTAACTTCCAACCTTTACGCTCCATAACGAACCCACTCAGAACTGTCTCTGTTGGCACGTGTCACCAATTGTCAGGCTCCATTACCCGTTAAATTCCAAGTCATCACCACTGCTATTCATTTCCAATTTTACCCTCCACCCCATAAAGTATACCTTCTCACCTCCTCTTTATAATTGTCTCCATTTCCCAACAAATCTTATCTCCCATCTTGACTTGTCTATCTCTCTCTCTCGCTCTCTTGTACCTTAGTCGGAAATTAGTCCCACAATGTATGGAGTATAATTTTCAGTGCTTTAAGTTTGTTTATGAATTAGAGTTTCCTTGTGTATGAACAAACGATTTTATCTTTGTGAATATCGTGTTAAGTTTGGATTTTAGGGATTCTTTTTGTTCAATTTTTCAGATCTGATATCGGAATTGGGAAATTTTATTAATTCTTGACTTGATTTTAGGAAGTAGGATGTCGATGTCGTCGAATTATTGGTGCTATAGATGCAATAGATTTATTACAGTACGGAACCAAGATTCAATCACATGCCCCAACTGCAACAGTGGGTTCGTCGAAGAACTGGTCGAGACTCCCAACAGATCCCCACTGTCCGCTTCTCGACGGCGTCGTTTCCCTGCAGTGGCTTCTGATTCAGGTCCAACTCTTCAGAGGAGCAGGAGAAATGGTGGTGATAGGTCACCCTTTAACCCTGTCATCGTCCTCAGAAGTCCTTCCCGTGGCGGTGGTACTGGCGGTGGTGATGGTGGTGGAGGGGCTGCAGGAGCATTTGAGCTGTATTACGGAGATGGATCTGGGTCGGGTTTGAGGCCCTTGCCTGCAAGTATGTCGGAGTTTCTACTTGGATCGGGCTTCGATAGGCTTTTGGATCAGTTAGCACAGATTGATGTTGGAAGAATTGAAAATCCACCAGCTTCGAAAGCTGCAATCGAGTCAATGCCAACCATTGAGATTGTCCCTTCACATGTGGATGTAGAATCTCACTGTGCTGTTTGTATGGAGTCCTTCGAGCTGGGAACTGAGGCTCGCGAAATGCCCTGTAAGCATTTATATCATTCCGATTGTATTCTACCATGGCTGTCACTGCGGAATTCTTGCCCTGTTTGTAGACAGGAATTGCCCACCGAGAGTGGTGGAGATTCAAATGAGCAAAATAGAAATGTAGGACATGATGATGAAGCTGTTGGTTTAACAATATGGAGATTGCCAGGAGGTGGATTTGCGGTCGGGAGGTTTGGGAGGATGGTGGGTGGGGAGCGAGAGCTGCCTGTTGTATATACAGAGATGGATGGAGGGTTCAATAGCAATGGGGTTCCGAGAAGGATTTCATGGGGTTCTGGAGGAGGGAGAGAGTCGCAGCAAAATGGGGGTTTGAGGAGACTATTTTGCAGTTTCTTTTCATGTTTTGGGGGGGCTGCTTCATCCAGCTCCGAGACCTCTGGTTCAGATTTGAGGACAAATCGTAACACAAGTGGTTCATTGTCATCTGTTTTCATCTCTACATCAAGAAGGCGTAGGGACTGGGACTTTGAAACTAACACTGAAGCTTGATGTTAAATTTTGTAGAGATAGCGAAAGGTGGATGACAAGTTTATCATCCGTGTAAATAACTACCTAATGCGAACTGTTGTTTTCATTGATGGGCTTAGCAATTGTATGATGGAGATTTCTGCAAATGAATCGGAGAAGCTAATGCAGGAGAAGATGAAATTTGGAAGATTAGAGTTAGCATTCGCTAGTGGGCAGAAGGTACACGGACTCACGTACCACACTGCCTTTGAACTTAGGAATGCCTGCAGTGTTTTCTTTTTAATTCGATCTTTTCTCTTTTGGCGTCAAGTTTAGGTAGCTTGTAGTTTGTATTCCTGTTAATTCCATCATGCTTGCTCTTAAAAGTATTTCATTGTTCAGTTGCAACCTATGAAGCTTTTATAAAGTCTGAGTTTTCTTGTCGCCTTGGGCTTTCTTCCTTTGCATGGACATATCAGTTACATCACATATTAGGAGGTATTGCGGTTTGCCTTGTTACATGAATTTGATATGCGATCAAATTGTTCAACGAATCTTGGGAAAAGCTTATTACTACCTGAAGACCACGTTATCTTCGGGTTGTAATACCATTGAATTTGAAATCTGTCCTTGTGTCCTACTTTTGTGAGCTGTTTATGGCTGATTTTTAAAAATAGCCAGATTTACAACTGGTCGTTCAAAAATAGCCCAATTTCAAAAGTAATCGAAATTTATCCATTTTTTATGTAAAGATAAATCTGAGAAAACACTGTTCAAAACCCGAAAAATATTTCAGTATATTATGCTGGAGTTCCAGCATAAGTATACTTGAACTCCAGCATATTATACTGGAGTTCCGGGATAGTATGCTGGAACTCCAGCATAATATGATGGAGTTCCAGCATAAATACACTAGAACTCCAGCATAATATACTGGAGTTCCAGCAAGTATAATGGTCCAGTATAATATACTGGAGTTTGGAGCACCAGTGCTCCAGTCTCCAGTATATTATACTGAAGCCAGCAAAGTATACCGGTCCAGCATAATATGCTGGAGTTCATACACAAGTGCACCGGAACTCCAGTATATTATGCTGGAACGGTCTCTATTGCAGCAAAACGGTAGCTATTTTTCATTGACTTGGTAAATGCTGACTATTTTTGATTGACCAGTCCGAAAACTGGCTATACCGTGAAATTTTGGCGCTGTTTATGCAGAGGATGGGCTTATGTAGTTGGTCCCATGGCGCGCTTTTAAAAGTTTAAGAGGCCAATGGACAAATTAAGTTATCCCGTAAAACATGCATCATGGGATTGACGAACCGAGGTTCCAGTTGAATCTAGTATAAAATACAACTGTCACCCGATAAAACTAATGATTGAAACATAAAAACTATGCTATATTAATATGTAGGTGAGGTGGGATTATACTTAACCTGAAATCTCGAGTTCGGGTTCTAAAAATTAATAACCTTTCGAGAATGAGCACTTTGCTCCCTTAGACGATCTTTTGGTGCGCATTCCAATTAGCGGGGTTAGTAGGTTCGAAATGTCTTATGCCTAAAGATAAAAAATAAACAAATAAATTAGATTGATCGCTTGTTGGAGTTATAAGTTTGACGACAAACTGAGGTAGTCGCTATTAATTATATTGCACGTAGGCTTGGACGAAGTGATTATATAGTACTACTTTCGATCCACAATAAGTGACCAATTTAGTTTTTTATTTTGGTCCAAAATAAGTCTTCAAAAATTCAATTTGTTTTTCTAAAATTACCCTTATGTACGTATCCCTAAAAAGTCATTTACTCCTCACATTTGAGAAGAAGTAAGTGCTACTATAACTATGCAACAATTTAATTAAGGGTAATTTAGTCACACTAACTATTTTTGTCTGGAATTTAGTATTTCTTAATAGGTGTGCCTAAGGCAAATTGGTCACTCATTGTAGACCGGAGGGAGTAATTTACAATGAGTAACCTAATTATCCATCTGAAGATAAAAAGTTTCTGCGATGGCAAAATATCTGCAGTGCAAAGTAATTAGTAGCAGTTCTTATCAGAAAAGAAAAAGTTATTAGTAGCAGCATTCCTTTTGGAGTACGACTGGTGTTATAATGAAAACTACAGTTGGGACGAGATAAATAGTTGTAATCTTCCTCACTAAGAATGGTAGAAATGGAGGTAGTTTTCTATTAGAAAATGTGGGCTCGCAATACTTTATTGAGTGGGGACCTGTAATGATCTGGTGGACCGGTATTAATTTTATATGTCAATGTTAGCGCGGTATTTAGTACAGGATTAGTTCGCTTTTTAAGTGAAGAGCACTTTCGTGGCTTCAAATTGATCCCATTAAGGTATGGTGCTAGGGAACTAGGAAGCAAAACTTTATAATACTCCCTCCGTCTAAGTTTACTTGTTAACTATTGACTTGGAATGCCCTTAAGAAATAATAAATAAGATAACTTTACTATATCATCCTATTTATTAATTATTCAAAAATAAATTCGAATAAGTAGCACTTAATAAGAAGGGTAAAATAGGTATAAAATGGTAAATTATTCATTTGTTTTCAAATTGGACAAGTAAAAGTGAACATCCATTTCTGAGTATGGTAGACAAGTAAACTTGGACGGAGAGAGTAATTTGCAAATGAACAGTTATCGGGAACTTTCCTAATCAGACATGACCTGGAAAGTTATGCAACTGATTTTACTATATGTCCAAACGGGCTCCTAATTATCTATATGGATGAAAAGGTTCCCCGATGTTGAAATAAAAAGTGATTAGTAGCAGTACTATAAAAAAAGAAAAGTTATTAGCAGAGCTATCCTTTTGGCTAAGAGTTGTGGAGTATGACTAGTATTCAATGAAAACTACAGCCAATACAAGATAAGTAGCTGCAATCTTCCTCACTAAGAATTGTAAAAGTGGAGGTAGTTTTTACTTTTCAGTTAGAAGAAATTTGAGCTAGCTGCAGCACTTTATTGAGATGGGACCTGCAATATTCTACTACAAGTGGAGGCTGTTTTCAGATCGATCCCATTAAGGCATGGTGGTGGGAAATTAGTATACCAATTGACGAAAGAAAGATTATTTCAGAGTTGACTTCGTTAAGTTTTGCTACTAAATTTGCATGCTGAATTCTAACCTCCCGCTTAATTAGTTCAATCATGTCCATTTGTTCTATATTCATTTAGATAATGGGTTGGTCATTCACGTTCTCAATTGTGTTCATTTTTAAAACGGATATATAAAGCTGGTTTCTTATATGGTTGATGTGGACCCTTTGTTGTTTTTTAAATGACGGGGTAGCAAAAATATTAAAAATATTGATTAAAGATGTCTCTCAATAATTTTATTAAGCATAACAAGGCTTTAAATAGCCAACTTAAAAACAGAATCTGCAAAAAATCTACAGAAAAAATATTCAAATTCAACAAACTAAACTATCTCAACTAACATATCCAATTAAAATTAAATTTAAACAAGGACCTACAACTAAACTATTTTTTATTGTAGTATATCAAATATCAGCAGTAACAAATACAAAATACAACACCCTTTTTTTAAACTGTAATCTCGAACGTATGTTTCTTTTGACCCCGGATATTACTAAGTAATCTTTGCCTGATGATTACATATCCTGCATAGATCACAAACATCCTCTTGCGTTTGGGTCGACTGGAAACTATTGGAGTATTTACCAAAAACCAATGCGAATTTTTGTCGTGTTCTCGACCAGTTGTTAACAATGTCATGTTGTTGAAAGGATGAGTTGGATCCAGATAGCTGGTGCCTGGCTTTAACAAACAGAAAAGTTGATGATAATACCATAGTACTGTTCCATTTTAGAATTATATTCCAGGTATGATTGTGCTTGGCTTGTGAGTACACTCAACTAATTATGTTTTCTTATTTTTGTGGTCCAGCGTGCTTGTTTTAGGTTATAATTCTTTAAAGTCACCATATTAAATAATGTGGCCTAAAGATAATACTAGTATTGTTTGTGGCAAATAGGAATGTCAGTTGGGCCAAGTGGAAGGCTGCTAATTCATCTTCTTTTATGTGGGTGCATGATATTTGTTTCTTAGTTCTGTCTTGGAACTTATTAAATGCGTACTCAACGACAAACTCATGCTTGCAATGTTTCATGTGATTTGGCTGTCATGTGATGACCAATTTGAATTTCTATTGGAATTTCACAGCTTCTCTTTCTGTACATTCTATGGATCTAAAGTATTGTTTCCTTAAATGTGGGGAATTGTGTCCGATTACTGAATACAGGGATGAAGAAGTGGCGACATGACATCTCGATTAATAATTGACCATTACTTTGCTTCCGTAGTTTTAGGAAAATTTCTATGGTACCAGCAGCCACACAAAGTTCCTTCTCTTAGCCCACACAAAGTTTCTTCTCTTAGCTGGATCTTGTAAGTGCAACCTTATAAAACCAAGAGGATCCAATAACTAAATTGAATAGGAAGCAACTTTCTCTCTCTTCGACTTTCTCTGAAGTGCCTCTTAGTGATTACCTCCCGCAGCCGACGATCCACCAACGACGGTGACCATCATCCGACCAGGTAGGCCCCTCTCCGCTCTCTCCCTTCTCTCTCCTCTCTTCCTTCTCTCCCTTCTTCCTATCCCTTTCTTCTCCTCTTCTCTCCCTCCCCCGCCCTCCTAACCCTAACAGTAACAGTCGTGACAGTGACTGTGCATATGGCCGGTGATTTTCTCTCTTTCTCTCCCCTCTCTCCCATCTCACTCCTCCCCCCTTCTCTCTACTCCTTCTTTCCTCTCCCCGTCTCTCCCTCCCCCGCCTCTCCAACATAGCAATAGTAGTCACCGGCCGGTGACTGCACATCTGACCTACGATCACCTCTCTCCCCCCCATCCCCTCTCCTCTTCCTCCATGTTCTCTTCTGCTATCCTCGACGATAGCGTCAAACAGGACCGACGATGATAGATAGGATAGAAGGACAACGACCCCCTATCTTTTGGTCCTGTTGTGTTTTATGTCTTTTAGGTTCTTAGCAGCGGGTTTTGGAGACGAACGTGAAGCGCACACATAGGCGTCGCAGAGCATCTTTGCTTGGCATCAACAAAGGCTAGTGGGAAGTTCATAGCTACGCATCAAGTGCTGCAACTACGCCGCGTATCCATTCGACTATATCGCAGGCTCTATTTTTGGGAGTTGGTATCTCCTGATCACTTGTTGACCCATCCCTTCCTTCCTAGTTTGTTAAATTCTTTTCGTGCTAGTTTAGGCTTATTACTAGCGCGTTTATTTGGTCTCATGTTTAGGGTCTTATAGTTGAACCTATAACGATCCGACTGGTCATTTTGAGCTCTAATGCATCGTTCGATGGTTTGATGCCTTGAGTAGCTTCACTTTATGTATTATTCCTTGCACGTGTTGTTGGTTTCAATTTTTGAGGAGTTCGGT